AAACTTATATATCATCCTTTCTTCTATTTTAGTATTTTGATTATTTAATGGTAAAATAAAGGGAGGGGAAAAAGAAAGAAAAGTAGATAAAATCACTTATTCATTTCATATTACGTTTTGTTAAAAAATAGATACAACTTGAAACATTTATTCATTTGTTCTTTTCTTGTTTTTCTTTCTTTCTTTCTTTTTTCTATTCTTTTTTTTGTTCAAAGATGAAAAATGAGTTAAGAGGTTTTAAGAATTTGAAATGTGCCACTAAGCTTGAAATTCTATTTCAGGAAGTTTTAGACGAATGAAATGAAACGAAAGAAACGAAAGACTAAAGTAAACTATGCTATAAATCATTTTACTGAGCCTTAGTTTTAGTCTTATTTTTGTTTTTTTTTCTTTGTTTCTTTTTCTCTCTCTCTCTCTCTCTCTCTTCGAAGGGAAAAAACTAGAAGTATTGCTTATTCCTTTTTCTTTTTTTTTCCGTTTCAGTTTAAAATTTGATGAAGTTAAGTGAAAAATTGAAGTAAAAACTTAGCAAAAAATATTTGGATAAGTATATTTTAACAAATATAAAATAATTATTGAAAATTGTTGAACATTAATTAAAAACATTTACCAATTCCATTTCCAATTTGTTTTAATTCCATAAATTTTAACATTATTAAGGGGCAAAAATATTGCATGAAAAAATGAATAAATAAATAAAAATGTCCTTAAAATAAAAAAAAAGAAATATTTGAAAACAAAAATAAATTAGAACATATTTAGACTTTTTTTTTCCCCTTTCTTTTTTTCCCAATCCACAACAAGCTCTCATGTCAAATAGCAGTAAACTTGATTTTCTCATTACATTTTCTTTTTGAAGAAAAAAAAAATTCTATGGCTAAAGCTTAGTTCCAGTCATGTTTTCTGTTATTTCTAAAGGCTAAAGAATTATTCCACTCAAGTTTCTACTTCTAGGAATTCCTCCGCTCTACAAATATGAAACTTACTTTAAATAAAGAAATAAATGAAGGATTGTCAAATTTTCAATAAATTGTTGAGGAAAAAAGTAAAAAAAAAGGAATTTCATTTGGAAAAATTCAAAAGGAATAAGAATAAATATAAATAAAAAAGATGAAAAGAATGGAGAAATGAACGATAGAGCAGATGAATGATTATTATGACAGAGATTGAGAAAATTACAAAATAATTATGCCTACAAATGTTAACAGTGATTGAGAGCGAGTATATTGTTTTCAAATATTAAGCAAAAATTTTTGGTTAAATTTTACTGAATATCAATTTATGATTATGAGATAAGCTGAACAGTAAAACTTTTCAAAAAATCTAATGCTAAAAATTGAAATATGAAATTATGAATTAGGAAAAGGATAAATTTCGTACCTATTTCACTTTCAAAATTCCTTGACAAATTTAATAAAATTTAATGCAACAAATTTTTCATTCGAATAAAATTTAATAATTATTTCCCAAAAATTTGAAACTTTAACTTTATATTAAAATTTACATTGAATACAATTGGTATTTTCCTTTTCATTGAAATGAAAAAAATAAAATGAGCAATGAAATTTTCGATAAAATGAACTTTTTTTTTATTGCTTCTTTTTTTTTTCAATTAGAAAAAATCGGGTAGTAGCTATTTTTCTTGCTTAAGAGTTCTTCTGTTCAAAAAGCATACGGTAAAATAAATGCTAATCGTTAAATTAAAAATTTTAATGTACTTCATAATTGGCTAATGATTGCGCAAAAATGAACGAGTTAATGTATTCGGCAAAAATATACTTTTCAGTTCTTTTTTTTCTTTTTAAATTTTTATAAGATTTATCAATTATTAAGAATTAATTTTTCTAGCAAATGGATTACTAATTAACCAAATTTAAATTATCTGTTATATTTGTTATTTCATATATTCTTTAAAAATTTCTCAAAGAAAAAAAGAATGAAACAAAAAAAAAGAAAAAGAAAAAAGAAAGAAGAAAATGCATTATTTATTTTATTCATTTTCTTTCTTTATATAATTTTAAATTAAAAATTCAAAAAAAAAGGAAGAAGAAATAATAAAATATAAATAGATAATAAATAAATTTTGAAATTAAAAAAAAATTTAGCTAATAAATTTCAATTAAAAATGAGTCATTTGTTTTATTTTTATTAATTTATATTAAACAACAATTAGCACTTCCTTTTTTTCATTTATGCAAAAAATAAAATAAACCTTTTTTTTTCTTTTTGTATCATAACATGGTTAAGTTAGCTGTATTTATTGTTAAATGAAATTTTGATAAGCATATTTTAGTTCGATGCAGCTGCATTTTTTAAAATTATGACATGCTTCAATGAATTTCTAATATATGATTAAAAGAGAGAACTGGAAAGAGGGAGGAAGAGAGAGAGAGAGAAAGAAGAAAAAAAAACGAATTGAATTGTATTGAATCAAAATTATGTCATTCGTTACTAAGGTAAAGAAAAAAAAGGAAGGAATTTCATTGTGACTAAAACAAGCAACTTATTATAGGAGAGAAAAAGAAAAAAAAATTAAATTTCTAAAAATTACCAAATTTTTATGTAACCAAAAAAAAACTTTATTAAAATTAATTAAATTTATAAATAATATTTAATTGTTTAATATTACAAAATCATTTACATATTATAAAAAAAGAACTAAAAATTTAATATAAATAATATTGAGTATTTTTTTAAGTATTTAATTAATTGTGTATATATGTACAGAATTTTAATTAGCTATTAATTATAGATAATTGGTTTGGAAGGTATTCCAGTGTATACACATTTCCTCCTTAGTGATCAAAATTGGCATTTTGGATGGTTTCTTTGTGATTTATGGTTAATGGTTGATTATGTTGTCTGCCTCGCATCAATATATACCGTACTTGGTATAACAATTGATAGGTAAATGGAATTGAATTAATATCTGATTATTTTCAATAGTAATAATTATTCATATTGTAAAATTATTGATTAATTTGATGAATTATAGCAACATCTTATTGTATAACAAAATAAAAAAAAATTCATAATGTCAAATAATTAAATCATTATTTGTTGACAATGAAAAATAGAAAAAGTGCTCAAACAATAAGATTAGTGATAATTTAAAAAAATGCTCGAACAATATAAGATTAATAGTGCTCAAACAATAAGATTAGCAGTAATTTTAAAAAATGCTTATATAATATAAGATTGATTAGTGTCCAAACAATAAGATTAACAATGATTTAAAAAAGTGGTCAAACAATAAGATTAACAATAATTTAAAAAAGTGCTAAAACAATAAGATTAATAGTGCTCAAACAATAAGATTAGCAGTAATTAAATGGTTGCAATAATAAACGAAGTATAAATTAAGCTTAGCTATTTAATTGAGCATGTTTTAAGATATTGCTCAGTAAAGTTTCCTGCAACTTATCGAAACTGGAGGACACCACGACGTGTTATTTTAACCGTAGCAATTATATGGCTGGTAATTTTATTTATTAATTGAAAAATGTTGTTGTCATTGTTGTTATTGTTGCTGTTATTGTTGCTATTATTATTATTGTTATTATTATTATTTATTATCATTATTATTATTATTATTGTTATTAATTACTATTATTATTATTATCATTATTATTATTATTATTATTATTATTATTATTATTATTATTATTATTATTA